GACTCCTGAGCTCAGTGCTTCTTTAGCTCTGACCGCTGAGGTTTAACTCATCCAGTGAGTCTTACTGCTGCTGAGAAATGTTTGGTCAAACTCCAGCCTGCCTTTCAGATATGATGAGACTCAACACTGAAGAGAAGTCGTACAGGATGGACGCCTGAACATGTTGTGCACAAAGACATCAAATATTAAAAAAAAAACAAAACCCACACACACAGAGGAGTGTCCCCAGTTCATTTTTACGACTTACCACTCAAAAACAAAATCAGGTAAGACCCACTTTGGCCATTTACACGACCCCCACACAAACTGCTAAGAGCCCTCAGAGTTTTCTGGGATCTGTGCTGTTTGTCCTGCAAGCACAGATGCACTCCTCCGACCTGAACATGGCTCTGTGTGCTTCTTTAGCGAGTCTCATGTGATAAAGGGTCAGCGTGCAACAACAGGAGGATATAATCCAACAGATTGTAATAAAGGGTGGGAGAAAGAAAGAATAAGTGGCACTCACAGGAGCGCACGTACGTGTGGTTTTAGTCAAGGTTTGACGATAAAGACGTCAGGAAAACTGGGCGGTGTATGTATACGCTGAAACTAAAACAGCAAACATTGAATACAACATTTTTAATGATTTATAGATTATAGATAATGATGATTTACAATATTTAAAGCAGTAAACAGTGTGGTGTTAAAGCACCAATAACAACAATCTAATTATCTAATCAGTTACATAATGACAATTTCTACTATTAATGTGAACATTTTAACATTTAGCCCTCCTTGCTTCTTAGATGGTTTTCTTTCTAATCCATGCAGCATATTGTAAGAAAAACAATGTATTTTTAGTATTTATCTAAATGACTAACACATATTATTACACTGTACCAATATGTAGAACTCTAGAACATTTATTTTTTCAGAATACTGCTGCTAATTAAAGAGGTCTGAGAGGAAACTAGACTCTCGTCAGGGTCAGGTGAGAAATGTAAAGAAGCAGGACGAAGCATTAAGTCCGTGCTCGTTTGGCACAAGTGTGGTAAATGTATCTGTTTTTCCTGGAGCTAAGCTTTAAGTAGTTTTTTTCACAATAAATAAAAGATGAATATACTCTGTATTTTCTCTGGCTTAAACTCAGCTGTTTTTCCAGAGAATTTTCTGTGAATAGTATTATTAAACTAAAAGAAACTGAAGTAAAACCACAGCCTTATAAACATGATGCCACTTTTAACAAATGACATAAGAAAGCAGAACTCTTACTTTCACTTCTACCAGCATCACTTGGTAATTTGATATTGTTATTGTCTCAATAACATCGCGTACTGGTGTCAAACATGCAGAGCGGGGGCCAAAAACAGCTCAGCAAACTGTATCATTTAAGTGTGAAAACTGGAGTAAACCCCTTAGTTACTGTTACTTTTCAATAATGGTAAAAAACAAAAGTACAAAAACATGGTAAGCCTTTCGTGGTGATGCCAACCCGAATACTCAACAGTGGAAATGTCTGAAAGGTTAAAAGTATTTTTAGATATAGAGAAGTTGTTTTTATGGTTCATTATTAAATGAGAAAAGCTGGGTGAAATACTTTCTGTTGTCAGTTGTTTAAATGTAAAAATAAAGTGGTAACTTTAATTTAAGCTTTTTTGGCTACTGTTACAAAAACTGGGAAAAAATTAAAGATTTAAGCAAACACTTTTAGGTTCGGTCCACTCGAGATGAAATTAGGCTGCACATCACACCCAGGATCTAAAATAAGTTTGACAGTCTTGCTTTTACTGTTTGGTCCAAAACCCCACAGACAGACAGAGTCTCACTGTGACGTCCGTCAATTTACGACAGCTGGTCGGGTTTTTGGCGACTTCCTGTCTGTTGTCCGGTAATTTTAACCAACAACATGCTTTTTAGAGAGGCTTCGTCCATGTGTGA